GGGGTGTAACTCCATCATAAGTCAAGAAGCATCTGTATTCCTCAAAACACAGCTATCATCAGACATGAGTATCCTGTTGAACTTAATTACTACACTACATGAATACTAGAGTATAGCCTACAACAAGGATCACTCCCTCCTCCAAACCACTTATTAACTGAACTACTCAAATGAAACATAACAAATATTATTTTCATTATCCTCTATAGACATATCCTGTCTCCTAATTCAATAAATTCTTAGATGCAGGTCTTAAAATTTTCAGAGCTTCTTATATACCCAACACTTACTGAATAATACATATTCAGTAAATAGCTAATGATCTTCCAGCTTCCACAGCTTACCAGTGTTAACCAAAAAACGAATGACAGATGGAAGTGTCTCAATCAGCAGAGGTTTATTGAGCCATACTTTGAGAACACGCCTGGGAAAAACAAGACACTGAAGCATCCGTAACCCACATTTTTCAAAGAGGGCTTTGAGAACTCAGTATTCTAGGGTAGAGCATGCAGGAGGGAAAAATGGGGGAAAGGAAGTGGGCAGTGAGGCAAAGGGTTACATTCTCCTGAGGCTTTAATTAGAGCTCAATAAATCTACCTTCTACATAAGGTAAGGTAAACATCTGAAAAGAGGGAGAAAAGAGTCAACTATGCAACCACGTCAGGGTAGGTGTAAGAGTGATTGATCTCATCTTGTCCTGGTTCTGTTCCTGGGAAGATAAGCTTGCAATCGACATTTTCAGTGTGAGATTTAACAGAACTTAATTTCAGGAGTTTAATTTAGATTGCATACCCAAAATTACAATTGGCATGTGCTTGTTTTATAAGAAAATATATATTTTGAAAGATTTAGGAGCCTGCAAGGAATTTCCTTTTGAGCAATTCGGGGAGGAGGCCATCTGAAGAGGTATATGGCCTTTTGTCATTGTGGGAACCTAGCTTATGTGTAAGACTATGACCTACATTGTGAAATTACAAACTTCTGTTCAGGGAAAAAGAATGGCAGTGTTGCATGACTCACATCCCAGGCTTAACCTTCCCCTCATCATAGTGAGTTTGTGGGCCTTAAGAGTTTTATTTTCTTTTACACCATCAAAAGGCTTGTTAATGTTTTGATACTAGTTTACACTACTTTTTTTAATCACCCCTCCCAGTCTCCTACCTGTACATCTTTGCTTCTCCCATTTACCCTGTCTACCCTCGCTTCTGTCTACTCACGTTGCACATACTTCAAGGCCAAATTCAACTGTTGAGCATATAGTCTTCCCAGACCAATCTCACACTAGTTTGAATTTATAGCATTTATTATCTATACTAACACTTCCAAAAATGTATTCCAAGAAACATTAACATGCTTAAAGGTGTTAATGAGTGGCCTACTAAGTTTGTGAATATTACAGGCTGTATCTCTCAGTCTTTCAAAGTCACAAGGTAAATTATCTTTTTAAAGCCTCTGAGAATTCCTACAATGAAGACCCAAAGTTAATTTAACCCAGCAATTCTAAAACTTCTGTGAAGATAGAACATCTATTTCAGTGAAAACCAATCAATATTTGGAAGTACACAAGGATTCTCCAAAGTACAATTTGGGATATTATAGTTTTTGGCTTTTGATTATTTAGCATTAACTATACTTTTTGATACCTTTTACGCTGCTATTAAACTTACAGATGTTTATGTCTGTCTGTGTGTCTCCAAAAACTGGACTGGCGTTTCCCTGGGAGCAGAGACTATTGCTAGTTCCTTCTTTTCTTCCCTACAGTGTCTGGTACAATGCAGATGTGAGGACAATACTAAATTTATTCCACACCATCACAAGCTGCACACTTCTCCTTTTCTTAAGGCAGAATATGGTGTTGTGGGTATTCTGGACATTAAAAGAACTATAGAGAATCAAAACCTAGATCAAGACTCTTTTATTAAAGATCTTTCTGAACCACAGAGTATTTCACTCAAGCAACCAATCTCAAACTTAAAAATCTATAACTGATGACTTAAACATACATGTTTGTAATGGAACCTTTTAAGGGCTGAGTTATGTCCTCCAAAAATTCATATATTGAAACCCTAACCCCTCAGAACGTGACAGTATTTGGAGATAGGACCTTTATAGAGGTAATGAAGGTTAAATGAGGGGATACGGGTAGGCCCATCCAATCTGTTGACCTTAAAAGAAGAAACCTGGGTGCACACACACAAACATAAGGGATGTACATGCCTAAAGGAAAGACCATGTAAGGTCCTAGAGAAAAGGTGGCCAAATGCAAGCCAAGGAGAGAGAGGCCTCCAAAAAAATCAAAGATCTTGGCTTTCCAGCCTCCAGAATTATGAGAAAATAAATTTCTGTTGCTTAAACCACGCAGTCTGTGGTATTTTGTTATGGCAGCCCTTGCAGACTAACAGAGATGCCCTACCTTCACTGTAACACACAGACACATGCATGTGCACACACAAAAGTACCTTTTCTGAGAGTGTAAGTTTCTGATTAGCAAAAATGTTGTATGTTCACAAAAGAGTAATCAAAACAATGAGGAAACCTGAAATTACATGAGAACTAGCTGAAGAAACTGGGAACTGGAAAAAAAAATAAATGGTGGAGAGGGAGCTGCGGGAAGGACTGTTGAAAGGGAGCGATTATCCATGTAAAAGTGAAGAAAAATGAACTAATGTATGGTTAAAAATAGAGGAATTTCAACTTAAAATAGGAACTTGTAATAATTAGACCTATATAAATGTGGGATGAGGTATGCAATGGAAGGGTTTCCCATCACTGGAGATGAAAAAGCACAGGCTGGACAATCCCCTTAGCAGGAATGTTTTAGGATAAACTGAATGTCAGATGGGAAGTAGGACTAGAACCTCTTAGATTCTTCCAGCACAATGTCTCTAAGGCTCTAAAATATCTGTCTTGATCCAACCCACTGCAGCACCTGCTCCTATTGACACTGCCAAGGGGAGAAAGAAGAAAAAGATGTATTCTTGTAATCCTGTCATCTCTGATGTTACGTCCTGTGGAAACAAGGCCGTAGAGAGTAAGTACAGTTTATGGAATCAACCACAAAGTTAAATATAACTTTTATGAATTTAAATGTCAGTCAATATTGTCTCTACGGTAGAAATATGTCCTATATTCCAAATTAACTCAAATTTGTATTTTTAAAGGAACCCACTTGTATCACCTTCCATGCTGTATTATTTCATATATGCTAGGTTTTGCTTTCCTGAAATCTAACCTCATGTAAACTGAGACAACTGTTTAGGTTTGTTTTGTTTTTTTGAGACAGAGTTTTGCTCTTGTCACCCAGGCTGGAGTGCAATGGTGTGATCTTAGTTCACTGCAACCTCCACCTCCTGAGCTCAAGCAATTCTCCTTCCTCAGCCTCCCTAGTAGCTGGGATTACAGGAGCCTGCCACCACGCCCAGCTACTTTTTGTATTTTTATAGAGACAGAGTTTCACCATGTTGGCCAGACTGGTCTCGTACTCCTGACTTTAGGTGATCCATCTGCCTAGGCCTCCCAAAGTGCTGGGATTACAGGCACGAGTCACCGCGCCCGGCTCTGTTTATTTTGCACGCTCCCACAGATCTTTATCATGCTGCTTGAGTAACAATTCAGCTATACTAACAAACTTGGTAGACTGTCAGGAAATTTAGTAATTAACTGCAGACAAAGCATTTAGTTACAGCACAGACTGTTGAGTTTCCAGTCGTACTCATTCCAGTTCCCTGTGTAAACTCAAGTGAGTCATTTAACCTCTCCAAACCTGTTTTCCTAACTGCAATATGGTGAAAGTGAGGATTAGGAAAAATATTCCATGTAAAAGTACTTGGCATGCAGTAGATGCTCAGTAAATTCTTAGTATTATGCTCAGCACCTAATTGCCATGTGAGTATTAAATAAATAAATCTGTTCCTTATTACAATTATCTTACGCAAAAAAACTGCCAGATATTAGTATTCAGTTGACTTATGTTAAACAAGTACTATAACTTCTCTTTACTATTAAAATATTAAAACTACTAGCGTGATGTGCAAATTATATACCTGAAACTACGATACTGAAATTGAATTTGGCTTTGAGACAGAAATCTGCTTTTTCCAGAAATCTCCAAAGGAATTCAACAGTCAGAAGAGATCGGTTTTTATACTGCAGCAAAATAATGGTATTCCGAACCTACGTCAACTAACTGAACACGTCGCACAGCCCAACATTTACCCCTCCTGTTTTCGTTTCTCTCCTTGGCTCTCTGAAGGCAACGAACAGCTATGCTTGTCCCCGCCTACAGCCTGAAACTTCTTACTAGGCCCCGCTCCTCACCCCAGGGGAGCACGGTAAATCCTGATTGCACCAGGTGAGAGAAACAACAAGATGAGACAGGCTACAGGCTTCCTTGGGGGAGGTATTTGAGGGGCTCCACGGTATCCACTGCGGACTAGAGGCGGTTCACCCAGAGGCCCCAAGAGGAACCGCCCTATTCAACTTAAGTGACAGCCGCGCCGCCACCTCATCACCGCCCAGTTCACGCTCTCGCCCAACATTCAGCCACGCTTGCGCGGCCCAAAACGAAGAGCCCCAGCCCCGATTCTTTCTTTCTCTAAGTACCATTTCAGTCGCCTTTAAGCTCCCTTGTGCAAAAGCGACAGAGATCCGAACCCACCTGGTACAGATGCTGCTCTTCTGCGAACGCCGGGTCTGGAGTGAGAGCGCATGCGCCTGTCCCAGGCATCAGTCACGTGACTGGAAGTGGCCGGGTTCTGATTTGCTCGGTATTTGATGAAAAGGTCTTAACGTGGGTAAAAGCTGGGATTTCTCTATTGCGCATGTGCGCGCTCTCAGCCTGATGGGAGTTGTAGTTCTGAAGGTGAAGTTCGGCGTTACTATCAGGAAACCAAACTGCAAGCTTTGGGAGTTGTTAGCTGTCCTCGACCCGCTCCCCTCTGCAGAGAACGCCAGAGGGAGGCGGCCGGCCCAGCGTCAGGCTCTCAGAACCGCTACCCGTGATGCTACTGCTCTGGGTGTCGGTGGTCGCAGCCTTCGGCGCTGGGGGCACCGGCCCCCGGAGCAGGGGAGCAGGGCCGTGGAGCAGCCAAAGCCCCCAACGTGGTACTGGTCGTGAGCGACTCGTTTGTAAGTACCGCGAGGCAGGGGAGGGACGCCCTGCTAGGGACCGGCGACCTCCCCGCCGCCTCCTATGCTGCAGGCTTTGTGGAGCAGAACCTCAGAGATTTTCAAACCCTTTTACCCCGATGCAAAAAAAGAAATTATGTTTTATATGAGGCCCCCTGTACTCACACATACACCACATACCTATGCAAGCATATAAAACAATAGTAAGTGAAACACTGAAAACACCTTTGCAAGTCTTTTCTTTTTTAATACTGACATATATTTTAGAAAGAGAAAAATAAATTATTTTACCACTACTAATGAACTTCGTTGTCCATACCCCAGTTTGGTTTAATTGTGTGGTACAATAACATTCTGCAACTCCATAAAAGCGTGTTAGCTTTCCAAAAGTCACTTCCCAGTTCACTTCAACATTTTAGGAATTCATGTTTGGGTGAGAAGTGAAGAAAGTTTATTACTCAGATTTGTGATAATCCTGTTAGTGCTGATTTAAATGGAATCGTTGATATAACTTGATCCGCTCCCCCGTATTCCAGAGAAATTGTGTGTATGTGTGTGTGTGTGTGTTGGTAATGTGGCTGAATCCCAAAATTAAACAGTTTTTGAAACTTTTCCAAGCCAAAGGTGCTACTGTCAACCTTACCCGATGCTTTTGGTATGATCGATGTTTTCAAAAGTGTTGCTTAGTCAATCGTTTGGTTAATTGTTATATTAGTTTATTATCACTTGGTGTTACTGTGGTCACATAGATGTTGATGTTAAGCATATCTGGTACTAAAGAGTGTTTGTAATCATTATGTTGTATTTCCTTTCTTATAGATAGATCAACTCCTGATGATTAAAATTACATAGTTGGTCTGCAAAGATGTGCTCATGGGATTTTTTGAAAATAATACTTAAAGTTACCTTTGTGATTTAAACTTAGAGCATGGGCAGTACTGGAAATTGACTAGATGACATTTTATTACCGAGTGCTCTTGTAATCAAAGATAAAGGAAGCAGGATTGTGCAGAGGAGAAGCAGAATTTTGTTGCTATCTTATGAATGACAGTTCTCAAACTAAGATGGTGCTTCAGAGCTGCTTTCGAGTTGGAGGGAGGGGAACAGACCGTTCTACCTGCATGTTGGATGGCGGCTGGTTGTGGGCTGCTCCTAGAATGGGGCATGATGTTGGACAAGGTAGCTGTCTTCAGCAGAGGCAACTGCCCATTCCTAAAAGGGAATCACATGTTGTGTGAAACTTCCAAAGATAACCGAGAGATTTAGGTTTATTTTTTTAGTATTGTATGGATGCATAAATTTTTCTATATTTGTGCTTAAATTTTTTGCATTTGCATACTTATTATTATTCAAACTGTCCTATCTTTGGCCACTGGAAGCCCCTTCAGGTTGTTCTGAGTCCTTTTGACCCATCCCCATTAGTATTTGACAGCTTGCTTTAACAGAGTTCCATGCCCAAAATGCATACTTCCTGTCCCGCCTTGTATGTAGAGACTGCAATCTGAGTGTCAGGGTTTTCATTACATCTTGATCTTTTCAGTGGACAAGTCTAGAAAGTCATATATTTTAGAAAGAGAAAAAATAAATCGTGAGAGCATACTGATACTTTCCATTTAAATTTAAGATTACGAGTTTATTCTTTAATTTTTATACTTGTATCTTTTTTGTCTTATGCCAAATATTTTGGCCTAAATACATTAATACAATTACTTATTTTCTGTATCTGAACATATAATATGTATATATCAATGTGTTTGAAAATAAGACAGTAATATTACTAGGAATAATGATAGTTCTGAGTGTAGCTTCCAGTTTCTTTGAAGTTTTTGCTGTAGGTATATTCAACTATATAGTAAAAATATTGGTCTTTAAGCTTAAAATAATTCCTCTCTCCATGATTATACCAGTTTATTATTAGATTATTAGTGAGATTATATACAGTTAGATTCTTGACACTGTGATTTATCATTTCTAAAACTCTACAAGCTGATGGAGTTGATAGGGCAGTTGAGCTGATAATAATTGTGGGAAGAAAATAGCACACTGATTTTAGTTTCAGAATAGCAAAACAAGAAGCTTTGCAGACCAACTCCCAAGAAAATAACCAAAACAAATGACAACTCTTTTTTATACTATAAATAAAAACTATTAAATATTTGAAACATTTAAAATGTCTGGAAATTGTCCTAAGGGCATACACCAAATGAAGAAACATTTATTCAAGAAAATGTACTAAAACTTGGTAAGAATGCCAAGAAGGGTCTGTGGCAGTGGACTATGGCTTTGACAGAGGTTTCACTTAGGTGGGTGTATCCAAGAAGATAGGACTCCTCCCCTCAGCTCCCAATCACTGGTTATCATATCTCACCAGCTGGGACAGGCTGTGAGGCTTTCTCATCTTCTCCTAATCCAAGTTGGAGAGGTTAAATTCCTAGTGAACAAAGCTGAGAAGTTGAGGGCTCCCTTATTTCGGTCAGCCCCTACTTACGGGACAAAGGCTTTATGCCAGGTGCAGAAGGCTGAGAATACTAGGACCCTTATTGCTGTGGCCCTAGCTCTCTAGTAGGACAGAGGTTCCATACCAGGAGAGACAAGCTGAGAAAACCAAACAAGCTTCTGCAAAGTAAGCAGAATGGAGGAATAAGGATTAGAGCAGAAATTCAGTAGACAGAGGATGGAAAAATAGTAGAGAAAAATCAATGAGACCAAAAATTGGTTCTTAGAAAAAATCAGCAAAATTGACAAACCTTAGCTTTACCAACCAGGAAAAAAGACAAAAGAGCTAGATTACTAAAATCGTGAAAGAGAATGGGTACATTACCTTAAGAAATAAAACATTGTTGAAAGAAATTAAAGAACATTTAAATAAATGAACAGACATCCCCTTTTCATGGATCGGAAGAGTTAATATTGTTAATATAGCAGTACAGACCAAATTGACCTATAGATTCAATTCAGTGCCTATAAAAATCCCTAGGACTTTTTTTGTAGAGATAGAAAAACTCATCCTAAAATTCATTTGGAAATTTAAGGGACCCAGAATAGCCAAAAATAAATCTCGAAATAAAAAGAACAAAGTTGGAAGACTTACACCTCCCAGTTTTAAAGCTTACATCATAACTACACCAATCAATGTAGTATGTTACTGGCCTAAGGATAGATGATGTACAGATCAATGGAATAGAATCGAAAGTCCAGAAATAAACTCTTATGCTTATAGTAAATTGATTTTTCAACAAGGGTGCCAGATGCCAAGACCATTTTAATAGGGAAGGAATGATCTTTTCAACAAATGGTGTTGGAAAAAACAATATGAATGAAGCTGGACACTGCCTTGCACTATATACAAAAAAAAAAAAAAAAAAAAAAAAATGAAATGTAAAAGCTAAAACTATAAAACTCTTAAAAGAAAACGTAAGTGTAAATCTTTGTGATTATAGATTAGGCAATTAAAAGATGGGCAAAGATCTTAATAGACATTTTTTCATAGAAGATATGCAGATGACCAGTGAGTACATGAAAAGATGCTCAACATCATTAATAATTAGGGAAATGTAAATAAACCACTGTGAGACACCAGTTACACCCACTTGAATGTTTACAATGAAAAAGACAATAACTAGAGTTGGCAACAATGTGGAAGAATTACAGCCCATATACTGCTGGTAGGAATGTAAAATCATGCAGCCACTAAAAAACAGTTCGTCAGTTTCTCAAATGGTTAACCGTAGAGTTGCAGTATACTCCGGCAATTTTACTCCTAGGTATATATCCAAGGGAAATGAAAATATAAGTCAACCCAAAAACTTGTACATGAATGTTCATAGCATAATAATGTTTATCATACATAATGGCCAAAATGTATAAACAACCCAAATGCCCATCAACTGACAAATGGACAAATAAAATTTGGTAATATTATTCAACAATAAAAAAGAAATATGATACATGCTACAATGTGGATAAAACCTAGAAAGATTATGTTAAGTGAAAGAAGCTAATCACAAAGGACCACATATTGTATAAGTCCATTCATGTGAAATGTCCAGAGAAAGCAAATATGTAGAGCCAGAAAGTAGATTGGTGGTTGCCTAGGCTTCCGGCAAATAAAGGGTAATGGCTAAGGAGTGCAGAATGTGGTCTTTTGGGAATGACGAGAATATTCTAAAATCGACTATGGGTAATGGTTGCACAACTTTCTGAACATACTAAAAACCATTGGATTGCACACTTTAAATGATGAGCTGTTAAGTGTGTGAATTATATCTTAATAAACCCCTTTTTTAAAAAATAGAAAACAGGCCAGGGGTAGTGACTCACACCTGTAATCCAAGCACTTTGGGAGGCCAAGGCGAGCAGCTCACCTGAGGTCAGAAGTTTGAGACCAGTCTGGTCAACATGGAGAAACTCCATCTCTACTAAAAATACAAAATTAGCCAGGTGTGATGGCACATGCCTATAATCCCAGCTACTCAGGAGGCTGAGGCAGGGGAATCACTTGAACCTGGGAGATGGAGGTTGTGGTGAGCTGAGATCTCACCATTGCACTCCAGCCTGGGCAACAAGAGCAAAACTCCATCTCAAAAAAAAAAAAAAAAAAAAAAAAGAGAAAGAGAAAAGAAAAGAAAAGAAAAAGAAAGAATCCAAAAATTAACCAGGCATGGTGGTGTCCCAGATACTCAAGAGGCTGAGGCAGGAGAATCACTTGAACCTAGGAGGTGGAAGTTGCAGTGAGCTGAGATTGTGCCACTGCGCTCCAGCCTTGGTGACAGGGTGAGACTCTGTCTCAAAAAAAAAAAAAAAAAAAAAAAAAAAATTAAATAATTAAATAAGAGAAAACAAGCATTTCTTCTGGGGCATTAAAGGACATGGGCATCTTTCCATCCCCACTCCTACTCCTACCTCTGCTCCCTGCCACTGCACCTGTGTCAGTTTTAGTTTTGGTGAGGTTTCAGGAGTGGCGGGGGAGAGTAGGCACAGGAATGTATGCTACAGAGTCTAGTAAGGGTCTCATTCAGTCCGATGGACAGATCTGGGAAGAACACTGTAAGCAGTCTTGCCATGCTAACATGACAAATTAAAGTTATTGTTACATTCTTTGATTAGGATGATGCAATCAAATCTAAACTTCTCTGATTCTGCCTGGCTCGTAATGATAAGGAACCAAGTACAAGTCATAGTTCAGAAGGAGCAATCAAAATCACAAAATCTTATCTACCTAAAGACTCACCCATCCTAAGGGGAAAAAATGTGGGGACTTATGAGAATTAACTAACAAGAGCAGAACGCAGCAACTAGAGGCATTTGGTACCATTTCTATCACTTTTATACAGAAAGCCAATTAATGGGTCATTTTTATTTCTTAAATGCCCAATTTGTTTGAACCATAGGAATGGCCTTGAGAAAAATTGAAATGGGTAAAAGCCACTCTGCAAGATTTTCTCTCCCAACCAAATTTGACAGAACTGTGTTTTCACTTATAACTGGCTATCCATTGTAAACCACATTAACATACCATGAAAAACTTACTTTCTCTGTTTTTCATCAACCAGCTGTGTTAAGATCCCTTTCAGTTCAGAATTAACTATTCTATGGACCATTTCCCATTGATACCATCATCAGCAGTACTAGTACTAGCCTAGTTTTTAAATGATTCGTTGGTGCGTAAAAACTACACAAAGTTAAAAACCAAAACTTCTAGAAATTTTTAAAATATTTTCTCTAATAACATTTTGGTCTTCGTTTATATGAAGTGTTATTGATATTTTTGACATTGAAAATATGTATTTCATAATTGAAATATTTCCTAAGAACCTATTCAGATACACATTTCGCTACTGATATACTTAATCCAGTTTATTAAGCTTTACAAAACTATACTGTTGAATTTTTTAACTTAAATTTGTCTTCTTTTTTAAATTGAACAGATCTCTAGATTAATGATTCATTTTATTTCATTCACCAAATATTTGAATTCCCCTGCCTTATATATATCTCAGGCAGTAATCTTAACACAGATCACCTTTCACTGATGGAATTGTTGGGAATTTTCTCATGTGGGGCAGTTGCCCCCTCCTTTTCTGGTTATCTCTGCCACTCTATACTTTAAAGAGTCCTGCTTTCTAGCCTGCTTTTGATACAGATGATGTTCCTGTGCTTGTCATAGAAATGAGTCCAGAAGTCACTAATACTGATTTTAATCTGATACATTAGTTATTGATATGCTGCAGGAGCCATTTGCAATGGTAGTTACACCAATTTGAACCTAACCTGCAGGACCTGGAGTCTAAGTCCCAATATCTGAGTTATACAGCATCTTTAAGACAGTTCTACCTTGTGACCTCCTGCTCCATCCCCCAACCAGATAAGCTTGGGTGGCTGAGTTGTCTAGATTCTAAGCAGTGGCCACAAACTGTTATCTCCCCATGTCCAAAAGATTGTAAGCATGAGATATTTAGACATTTGGAATTTGTGAGGATAAATTTCTGATAATTCAAATTTAAGGGCTTAAAGAAATTCTCATGAGGGAGGGCTATGCACTTTTTTTTTTTTCTTTTTTCTGAGATGGAGTCTCAACTCTGTCCCTCATGCTGGACTGCAGTGGCGCCATCTCAGCTCACTGCAACTTCTGCTTCCCAGATTCAAATGATTATCCTGCCTCAGCCTCCCAAGTAGCTGGGATCACAGGCACCCACCACCACGCCTGGCAAATTTTTGTATTTTTAGTAGAGATGAGGTTTCACCATGTTGGCCAGGCTGGCCTTGAACTCCTGACTTTAGGTTATCCACCCGCCTCAGCCTCCCGAAGTGCTGAGATTACAGGCGTGAGCCACTGCACCTGGCCACTATGCACTTGTGTCTTTGGCTTTATAGCTCATCATTGAGGAGATCAGTAATTATCTGCTTAGCACTCAATGATTACTCTTGCTAGAAGTGGAAATTTATTTTGACATAAAACATGCATCATTTTCCCATCTTAAAAAAGAACTGACTTTAATCCCACATTTTCTTCCAGCTAACACATCATTCTCTAATATCCATCCCCTTTTTCTGTTTTGCTTTGCAAAATAACTTCTTAGAAGAGCTTGCTTTCTTCCCCCTGCTGCCTCCCTTTCTTGCCTCCCATTCCTTCCCCTTTCCAGTTTAGCTGTTCATCTTTACCACCCATTGAAAGTGCTCTTGTCAAGGTCACCAGCTGTCTTCATATGGCCAATTCCAAATGAAGCATTTTCTGGCCTCATTTCAGGTGCATTCTCAACAGAGCAGATGTCACCTCTTTCTTGGCACAGTCTTCTCTCAGCTGGCATGGCACTCGGTCTCCTCACATTTTCCTCCATTGGCCATTCTTTCTCAATTTCCCATGCTGCTTTCCCCTCGTAGATTCCTTCACAGCTTCCTCTAGACCCCTTTCTTTCCTTTCCTTTCCCTCTCTTCCTAAAAGGTTTTATTTAGTGTCACAGTTTTCAAAACCGTGAATAAGCTAAATGCTCCCAAGTTTTATTTCACCAAGATAGACTTTTCTGAACTCCAGATTCCTGTCTGTATCCAACAGCCTGCCTTATATCTCTATTTGGAAATCTCAGATATCTCAAGGATTTAGATATATTCCATATTTTGGGTTGGCTCATGTTTTAAACTGGGATTTATTTATTATGTTGAAACCATATAATAGATAAAACTCCAGGTCTGGAATATTCTTTTTCTGTCTTTGCTCTTTACCAAGGTGAATTTTTCAATTCCTAGTTCATCTCCAAAATACGTATCTCCAGCCCAAACATTTCCTAATCTTCAGACTCATTTATCAAGCTGACTAATTTTTTTGTAGAAACAGGGTCTCGCATGTTGCCCAGGCCGGTTTCTAACTCCTGAGCTCAAGCTGTCCTCCCACCTCTGCCTCCCAAAGTGCTGGGATTACAGGGATGGGCCACCACACTCTACCCCAGCTGCCTAATTGATATCACCACTTCCAATTCACAGATATCTCAAGCTTTGTATTTCTCTTAAATTTTTTGAATAGCTGGATCTTGCTCATTCTTTATGTCTCATACATCCCAGAGAAGGCTTCTCTGTCCGCACTGTCTAATGTAGGTCTCTCTTGTCCTTCTGTATCTCAGATTTTTTTTCAAATTGCACATCATAATTTGTAATTATTTGTGGTTTATTTGCCAATATACTTTTGCCTTTCCCACTAGACTGTAAGCTTCATGGGGGCAAGGACTCTGTTTTATTCACCATTGCATCCTCAGATTTTGCACAGTAACTGGCACATAGGTAAGTGTTAAGTAAATACATAGTTCATCATCCCCCAAAAGAACTTTCCAGGAAGTCCTTTATTTACTGTATTCAAATGAATCCAGGTGTAACAGTGCATTGAATTCTAGATATTTATGTACCAGATACTGAGAACACTCTCTGTACTTGTTCTGTTTTAATTTTTGAGGATTATTAAAATCATACTGAAGTCTTTTGCTATTGTAAATTTTATGGTTAAAGAAAATAATTTTCTTCTTTGGTAATGCAATCAGTGCTAATTAAATTTCTTTATTGCCAGGATGGAAGGTTAACATTTCATCCAGGAAGTCAGGTAGTGAAGCTTCCTTTTATCAACTTTATGAAGGCACGTGGGACTTCCTTTCTGAATGCCTACACAAACTCTCCAATCTGTTGCCCATCACGTGCAGGTAGGAAAATCCTTAATGTGAATGGGAGAAATTGTCTACACACTGAAAATGTATTCACAATTTAAAAGATTATACCTAAAAGTAGAATAGTTTGTTATATTTGGCCTCATTAAAACTTCTTGAATATAAAATATGTACATTTTAAGGTATATTTTGGCTGTGGGGGTTGTTCAAATTGTAATGAATTTTTCAAGAGTAGGAATTTTTATCATTTAGATTGGTGTCTAGTTCATGTATTACTGTTTCATTTCCTTTTGACTGGGAATTAACAATCTTTTTTCTATCCATGAAAATGAGGGAGTACTTGTATTTCCTAGAAGAGTTCTGTTTCCAGGGAAATTTTTCAGGAACAATATAGGTAATTGGGAGGACTTTTATGAACATTAGCGTATGCCATAAAGTATTACAACTTATATTCAGATTTACCTGAATTTTTTCTTATTTCAGATTACATACTTTGCCTCTTTCTTTCAGTCTCAATTCACTTTTATCTTAGATAGTTCACTTTTATTATAATAATTTAACAAATAGGCATAGTTTTATTGGCAGAATGTCAATGACATGAAGTCATGAATCATTAACAAATAGGAAAAACTGCCATTTTTATAAATTTATCTATCGTATGATAGTTGTTTTCCTTTTCCCCTGTTTTCTGGTTTATGATTGCTGCCTTGGAATCCATAAACTCAGTGATTTGGTTTGTCTGTAAATGAGGTGATTTTCTCTGTGATTTGAGTTACAACTTTTTTCACCTATAATTTCAAGACTATCAACTATATTACTACCAGTGATTAAAAAGGAAATTAAACTATATTGTAAATGACATTTCAATAATGAAGGCCCAGGCATATTAAAAAACAGTTTTGCTAACTGTAAAGTAGAATGAGCAGTGGACTTGGGTAAGACGATGACCTGGATGCTAATCCTCAATGTACTATGTCAAGCAAGTCACACAGTCTTCTTATCTGCAAATTGCTGTGTGTACTCTGTACCTCACAGGGTTGTTCTGAGCATCACATTAAATAATGAGAAAGTGGCCAATGAACTCTAGAGGTCTCAAAAATGTTCAGTGTTGTTTTTCCTGGAAGAAGTATATTCTGAAGAATAAACACAACAAGGTTAAATAAGTTTATCAAAGGCTACTCAGTAACTGGTGTTATTGGGATTCAAACCCAGGGAATCCCCTATTTCACCTCTCAGAAAACATCTTGCTAGATGAAAAGAGAAAGCTGACTCTAACTGTCTATTTATGTACACATAATGGGAAAAGGAAAAAAAGTATTTATTGAATAAACAATCATAGCCGTAGAAAATGAGAGATGAGGCATAGCACACTTAGAGTTTTTGTGGAAAGCCAGCAAAAGGACAGGGAATAAGGGAAGATCGAGGATATTGAGGAAATGAGATCTATACTTCAATTGACTGATTTAGAAATGTAACCAATAAATACTTAGGGATTATTTTTATGATTGAAAGAGGCCTTTAGTCACACAGGCTTTATATTTAATTCCAGCTATATTTACCTTAAGTAACTTAACCTCTAAGCATTAGTCAACTCATCTGTGAAATGGAAATGGTAACTCCCCACAGAGTATCCATCTGATAAAATGAGATAACAGTTGGGAATGTTTGGTAAAGCACCTAATCTGGGTACATCTCATTGCAGAGCACTAGTGGACTGCTCTCTCAGAGTAATTGTCTTAACAGTCAAATTGTTAAGCTTCACCTTAAGTCCCAATTCCTTTTTTTTTTTTTTTCTCAGCAATGTGGAGTGGTCTCTTCACACACTTAACAGAATCTTGGAATAATTTTAAGGGTCTAGATCCCAATTATACAACATGGATGGATGTCATGGAGAGGCATGGCTACCGAACACAGAAATTTGGGAAACTAGACTATACTTCAGGACATCACTCCATCAGGTAAAAATAAAACAAAAATAGTCTTCATGAACTTCCCTCTGCCATAGTGTATGCATGTACTCTTTTTGACTTTAATTTTGTAATTTTTCCACTAAGGTGAAAGTAAATCTCTTAATCCCTTGATTGTGTTAATTAGGCTGAAATTTTAGCTTTCTTTGATCTTCCTGAAACATTATAATTGCTAATAAACTAGTGATTTTGTTTTCCTTAAACATTAAAGTCTACAGTGTTTGTAAAGTTGTTTAGCCCGTGCTTTATTTTCATTGAATTTCCTTTATATAATGGCTACTGTATTATTAATTTTAAAATCTGTATTTAAAACCACAGCCTTCTTGCTATTTTCCTTGGTCAGTTCCCTCCAACTTAAGTCTATTGTAACCTTTATTTTCTTTCATTTTACTAAGTCCTCAAAAACCAGGCAGCCAAGCATAGTGGTTAAGAGCAGAGGTCAAGAATCAGACTGCCTACTTTTGAATTATAGTTTCTGTTTATTACTAGCATTGTAGTAGCCTGATCTTGGACACATTGTCTAGATGTAGACACTGTAATTTCTTTGCTGTGAGGATTAAATGTATCACTAAGTTCAGAAAAGAGCTAACTTCGGAGGCCTGAGACTGCCATACCTAGAAAGGCCTGCTTGCAAGGTTGGCCCTTGTCTGGCATCTGGGAACTTAGACTTCAGGAGTATTCCTACTATTCCTTAACTGATAAGAGTGGCCTATTATGTGCCTGGAGCATTTATATAATGTGGCTTATGCCAATTACCAGCTTTCCTTCCAGGAGTCTGGAATTTTGGCCTGTGCTAAGCAGAGGGTGCTTATGTAGTCAGCACCCCCGCCAAAAAAACCTGGGTTCTGATTCTCTAATGAGCAGAAACAACACTTCACATGTGTTGTCACAATTTGACGGTGGGAGAATTATGTCCTCTGCGACTCCATCTGGAAGCTTGTGCCTCATTTCCTCCAAACTTTGTCTTAAGCACCTTTTTCCTGATTTCACTGTGTATCTTTTTATGTAATAAATTATTGCCATGAGTGCAGCTATATTCTGAGTCCTGCAATTCCTCCTACTGAACTTGGGTGTGATCTTGGAATCCTCCAACACTTGTGACCCCCAGCACATATTAGGGATTAGAGTGCCTCTTTCTTACCCAGGCAAATGCTAATTGAAGGTTATTGGTAATGATTGTTGTGATGGTGACAATACTAATGATGATGATAAATAATAAGAAAAAATTAAGGTAACAAAAATAGTGATGAATGTAGTGGGTTGAATAATGTTCCCCCAAATTTCATGACCACCTAGAAAGAACTCCAGAATGTGGCCTTATTGGAAAATAGACCCTGTTTGCAGATGTAATTAGTAAGGATCTCCAGATGAAATCATGACTGCTGTCGTTATAAGGAGAGGAACAGGACATAGGCACACATAGAAGAAGACAATGGGAAGACAGAGGCAGAGACAGTAGTGATGCAGGTGCAAGCCAAAGAAGGAGAGATGCCAGGAGTCACCAGTAAGTTAGGAAGAGGCAAGGAAAAATTCTGCCAGAGCCTTCGGAGACTCCTTGATTTTAGACTTACAGCTTCCAGAACTGCAGGAGAACAGATTCCTGTTGTTTTAAGCCACACAGTTTGTAATAATTTATTCTGACAGTTCTAGGAAATGAATACAGTGAGCTTTGGGTAAACAGACACTAAAATAATCTAGTATAATCTGAACATTAATGTTGCTCTCCCGGTTACTGTTAAATTTCTTTCCTTTTCTGTCCTCCAAAATCTGAAAGAAAGCAGTACGGGACATGCAGAAGCCATCCTGACATCCCTATTCTTTACTCTGTCTTCTAATGCATTGCCAAATGTCAGTTTTACTTCTGACTTATTTCTCCAATTTATTCACATCTCACCATCTCCACCAAGCTACTCTCAACTCTTGCCTAGGCTATTAAAATGGACTTCTACCTGGACTCTGCTTACTGTATTTCTATAGGCAGCCAGAATGATCTTTCTTAAATGTATGTCTGATTACATGACACACTTGTTTAAAATCCTTCAGTGGTTTCTCTCTGCAGGTTAGTGAAAATCTCAAATCTACAACATAATTTATGAGACCCTACATGATCTAGCCCCTGCCTACCCCCAGTATCATTTCACATCACTCTCTCCATCCCTCGGTATGTAGTATGTACCTGGTCTTTTAAAATTTTCCTTAACATGCGTTTTGCTACTTCTAGACTATCGTACGAGCTAGTTTCTCTGTGCAAAATCCTGTTCCCCTACTCTGCCCTGCTAATATCAGAAAGAAAGGGCAGGAGAAAAGGTACCTATAGGAGGAGGAGCACAGGCTTTGTCTGTCAGAGCAATCAGATGCCCAGCTTCCCTGCTTAGCAGCCTTGTAACCTTGGGCAAGTTATTTGATATTGAGTGTCAATGTTCTGTAAGAATTATTGGACAAGTTACTTGGCATTAAGTGTCAGTGTTCTGTAAGAATTGATGATACGTACCTCATTGGATGACTGTGTTTTATATGAGTTAAAAGATACTATGTAAGGATTAAGTGGAATAATATAAAATATTTAGCAGTGCCTGGCACAGAGTAAGCATTTACTCAATGGAAAGATTATTATTATGAAAATGGCTTAACCAGAATTGCAGTCTAACATTTATATAACCATCTTTTTTTTTTTTTTTTTTTTTTTGAGATGGAGTCTTGCTCTGTTGTCCAGGCTGGTGTATAATGGCAGAATCTCAGCTCACTGCCACCTCTGCCTCTCAGGTTCAAGCGATTCTCCTGCCTCAGCCTCCCGAGTAGCTGGGATTACAGGAGTGTGCCACCACACCTAGCTAATTTTTGTATTTTTAGTAGAGACGGCATTTCACCATGTTGGTTAGGCTGGTCCCGAACCCCTGACCTTGTGATCTGCCTGCCTTGGCCTCCTCGGCCTCCCAAAGTGCTGGAATTACAGGTGTGAGCCACCATGCCCAGCCATAACCATCATTTTTTTAAAGTGTTTTGCATTGCTAGTTACCTGATGGAGTTTCACAAATTTCTCTTTAAAATCTTTCTCCTTTTAGGAATGTAAGCCCAATCTAAAGTAAGATAATAACTTATCTTGTTTATTGTTTATAATAAAAATTATCTAGGATTCAATGCCATATATTCCCTGTAACTTTTATTCTTATATGTGACATGATTAAAATATGACCCAACTTTTATTCTACAGCAGGATAATTATCCATGGAGAGCAAGGACTTTAATCTCTCTTTCTCTGCTTTATTCCCATTTGCCAGCATAGTACCAGTACATTGTAGGTTCACAATTAAATTTTTGATGAATGAATGAATGAAAAAGTTATTTTGAAGTACCTACAGTTTATTACTTGAGAAACATTGATATTCTGTGTAACACAGAATCATATCACTTGTTCATTATCATTTTGTATATATCTGCAACTAACATGATATCCTAAGTTTTTTTAACTTTTAAAATATTAATATTTAGAAGTTCTTTCTTTGTCACATGGAATTCTAAAATCAGTAGAGGAAAAAAACCGCTTAGATGTTGATATTTTGGGGATGTCAAAGATGGTTTTCAGGGCAGTACTTGCTTAAAGCATATTTTCTTGTACTCACACTCTCATCAGAGCTTAGGAAATTGAAATAAGCCACCAGGAATATTTTTATGAGTGCTGTATATACCCACACAGATATTTGGCTGACAAATAGGTTAAGGTTGCTGCTAATATCATGTCTGACGGTTATATGAATTATAGCACATTATTTTTCAGTGCAAACTTAAAAACAGGTCTCAGAGCAAAACATGGTCTCTCAACATCAAATTTCATAAATAGGGGCATTCGGTGTTGTTGATAGATAGACTTTCAAAATCAAAATGTAAGTTATTATAATTCTTTATTACTGAAACTGGCCATTTTTTAACTTGCTTTTATTTTCAGCCAGAATTATAGGTTTCTTTATTATTATAATACTTTCATCTGTCTTTTTTGGGTACCAGTGATGCTACCAATTTAGGAACAGTAATCCAATTAAGTGTCCCTTATTATGTATAACATACCACACCATACTAGGATCTCTATGGGCTGCACAGTTGTTTCATCTGTACAGTTGTTAAAGAGATACAGGTAGTATTACTCATAAAGATGCCATTTGCTGATGATAAAACCTTGGGCAGTAATTCATCTACTTAGAATCCCGGTTTAGTCTAATGAGCTTTCACTAGATGACTTCAAAAGTTCTTCTGCTCTGAAATTATATAACTTCAATGGAGTACAGTTAAGTGGTTTATAAATTTCTGATACTCATCTGTCCCTTACGTTATATGTATTGTGTTATAACAGATTTAAATTCAAATTTGCTATGTCTTCTTACCAATCGAAAGAAAACATTTACATTTAATTCATAGGGTATTTTGATTATTTTTGCTTTCCTATATATTCCTGATATCTAAAATAATGGTTTTCAACTGAGGGCAGTCACTCTCCCTGCCATACCCCTCCACCTCCACCCCTTGGTACCAAGAGGACATTTGACAATGTCTGGAGACATTTTTGGTGTTAACACTGGGGTTATTTTGCTGGCATCTGGTTGGTAGAGGCCAGGGTTGTAGCTAAACAGTCTATAATGCACAAAACAGCCCCTTTTCTTACAAAAAATCATCAAGTCCAAAATGTTTTAAGTATAGAGATTGAGAAAACATCTAAAATGAAATGTTTTATGCTCATCAGCCTGAGTCTTAGGAATGTCACACTTAAAATAATTGCCTACATTTTAAATATTGTTTATTCTTCCATATTCTGAGGGATCAGATCCACTTGACACTAGCACGTCAATTTTTTTAGAATTAAAAAAAAAAACAAAGAAAATTTATAGAATTGTGTCTAGAAAGTGAATAGAATTAGGAGGTAATTTTATATAGAAAATTTTTAAAACTAAATTTCTAACATCAGTATAATACAAAATTTAATATTAAGTAGAATTTCTTAA